ATTATAACTTGGAATTTCCTATCTTCTGTGCAGTTAAAATGTAAACCTTGATATTGCTTTATCAGTCTTGCATTAAACTTAATTTGGAATACTCTTCAGTCTATTCTTGGCAATTAGAAAAAAATATAGTGCAACTGCACTTTTTTTTAATTAAAGCCGCATGGAAAAAGATAACTGAGGTAAGAGGAATGAATTTATCAAGAGGAGATCCCCTGAGTCTGGGTTTGTCCAATATGTGTAGGAGAGATTAACAGTTCCTCATGAATGTTAATCTCTCTGCATAGCATTGGTGCTGCAGATAAATTTCTAAGAGACGGTCATGGCATTTTTCCTCTCCAACTATAAAGGGCATATCTACAGAGAAGAAAAGAAAGGGAAATGCTTTGTATTTCTCCGATATCTTCACACTGATTTCTTCCATGTATCTCTTCAAATCTTACACGCATCCTCCCAGATTCATCTCTTAGGCCATGTTGCTTCAAATCTGTTCAATGTTGCTGCTGCTTTCAGCATGTCCAAAAGCCGTAAGAACTCAATGTTAAGCCAGAGCTTTAATTCATCGCTAAGTCTCATTGATGTATAAGTACTACTGTGCCATTTCAGGATTCTTCACTTTTCCCCTCCCTTCTTACACACACTTAAAGAATATAATCTGAATCACTCCAGTGTTTTTAAGGAAATTCCCCTCTTCCCCAACAACTTTTATAGTACTGCACAATTGGCCAAGCAAATATTGTTTTGAGAGTACAACTTGGTTATGTTTTGCTTACGTTCCAGAAGCAGGGTACTAACTTAAGGCTAATTGTCTGATACAGTATGGCTAATTTTATGAACATTTTAAGATAAATAAGACACTGTTGCTTGCCAGGCAGGTCTTCCAGAGCGCTCTCACCTCCATTCTTTCCTTTTCTCCTCTCAGTGAACCAGAATCTCATGACAGAAAGAGAAAATAGCAGCTTCATGTTTAATGGAGTTATAGAGTTCAAAAAGATTATGGAAAGTTACTCTTGTAATCTTTTCTTTTTTTCTAAATTGGGACAGTAAGTCGTCTTCTAAATGTCAGTGTAGTCTTTAGGTCAATAACAGATCAAAAGTTACAAGTGAGATGCAGTAAACAGCACTAGTTTAGGTTTTTAAAATCACATTCTCAATGTTTTGGTAGAGTGAGAAGTTCTGTTGTTCTCCCTTGAGACTGTAAACAAAGGAATGCCATTCTGCTGTTTTAAGCTCCTGGTTGTATAGATACTGACATTTCCTCCATGTAGCCCATTGTTGTTTATAATTAAGCGTGCAGCATGGACTTAGATGGTTACACAAAAAGAGGACCTTCCTTATTGTGGTAAGATCTGTTTCATATTTACTTTTGTGTCTTAGAGATGTCAGAGTTCATTCATGACGAATTTTGGCCACACTAGGCCTTTACTGCGGCAGGAAAAAAAACAAATTATTGCTTTATCAATATATTGGTTTAGGGCCAAATCCTTGTCCCTTTGAAATTAATAGCAAAACTCTTGTGACTTGGCCGTTACTGGGATCAGGATTTGACTCTTAATGTAAATTTTCCCCAAATACAAATTTCATTTTGGAAAAGGTAAAGTGTCTCTGAAAAGAGAGCCAAGAAAATTTCACATCTATATCGTATCCAACTTGAAGTAAAATAATACTAACACAAGCCATGTATTTTCTAGGTATTACATGTTTAGTGCTTATGTTTTATGTATATGGAGATAAGTAGGATGTGGCCATGTACTTGGGCACATGAAGACGCATACTATGAATGTATATAGGAAAGTGAAAAAGAAAGAAAGGAACGGTCTGGATAATTTTACAGTAGCTGATAATATTCAAAGCTATGTAAAAGAAAGTAATGGGGATGATGAACTCCTGCTTTCGGGTGAAAGCTGATCTACTTACTGAAGGGCCTATCCATACTATGGCTTGAATTGTGCTAGAAAAAACTCTGATCAAAACTGATATCAAGCATGGTTTTACTAGACCTGTTAACTGTTTAATATGGTGGCTGTTTGGTATAGCTGTAAGCAAATCTCTTTTTAAAAAAAACCATCATGTTATGCTGACCATTACTTAGGAGTCATTGCAGAAAATCACATTCAGCTTGTCAGCCAATGTTTGGAAATGCAATCCTCCAAAATTAATTGGTAGAATAAATGAATAAGGTATTCTAGAAAGGCCTATGTATTAAAGCCCCACTTAAGTGATGTACTTAATTACGTGCCTGATTTTGAGCATGCATGTTGTCTAGTTAAAGTCAGTAGGACTATTAACATGCTTGAATTTAGGTACTTGCTTAAGTATCTTGCCTAATCAGAGCCTAATTAGGGCTGACAAATACAGACTGTTACGTTTTCTTAGTCTGTCATTGACACCTAAGGTCAAACTCATCCCTGATTATAACTACATTAAGGTCAATGGAGTTCCACCAAGGATGAATTTGATTTTTTTATGATTAAAGGGTAGTGCTAGCATATTTGTGGTAATGTCATTCAAAGTATGGTAAGTGTGCTTAACAGTCTCAATTGTAGCAATAAAAATAAATGATACAGTATCTTTTTATAACAAAAAATATTACGTGTGTGTGTGTGTGTGTGTGTGTGTGTGTGTGTGTGTGTAATATATATAAATATCCTGTAAATAATCTTTTAGTCTTAAGCATATTACTTTTATTGCTGTGTGGTAAAGCTTTTCATTGTTATTGGTGCTGCAGCCTATGATAAATGATGTATTTGTATAGAAAATTTGTATAGAAAATACTCCCCTTTTAATTTTTTAAAAATTCATATCTAACAAAGACCAAAAAAAAAAAAAAACCCTCACCTTTTTTCATTTTAAATTGGGGGCTGGAATCACTCATGATACCTGTAAAGTTCTAAACATCATGCTGTATGCATGAATGTTTTCTTGCTGCCTGCCACAATATGAGCTTAGCTTAGTTCTAAATAAAAAGGAATCCAAAGATTGTTTCCCTCTTCGTTGATCATGCTAATCATATCATATATATTATATAAACACATGTAGCCTGAGGACTCTGGGTCTGAGCCTTGAGTTAGTGTGATTTGTGTGTAGACAGAAAGAAAGTGGAGGTAGACTTGAGCCTGAATTCAAATCCTGGGTTTATGTTGCACTGTAGACATACTCTTAGTATCTCAGGAGCATGTTGCTATAATATTAAATCTAGTAATTATCAGGTGCCGTTAAAGAGGCTTTATCTGTTTTATGAATAGTCTCTTATGCTTGAACTATGACAAATTCAGCTCAATGAGAGCTATCAGTTTTCAAATAAAAAACTTCAAGGTTTTGTGAAGGTTGTAAATATATATGATATCCATAAGATTCTAACAGGCGTTTACTGTTGTAATATTTTTTTAAAAATTAAGGCAGGAGATTATAAATTACATTGAAAAAAAATTAGTTTTTAAATCTCAAAATTAACTAACGATACTTGCTTAGTATATTCATAAATCTTTTACCTAGAGATGCAGATATATAGTAACTATCCTTAATATACAATGTCTGTGTTCTTTCAGAAGTGGGTGCTGAAACATAAGTTTGTCAGGATCCTGTTTATATTATAAATATTTGTAACTGTATTTATTAGATGGATAGCATGTTTGCAACTGTAATAGTATTACTGTTTCATACTTCAATGTGGACAAGTCATAGACCTTTTTATGCTCATCCAGGTTGTAACTGCAGGCATTATTTGAAGAAAACATGGCTGCACAGGTGGCCCTGACACTGAAACTTAATTAAAAATTCTGTTTATGATGCAAGAGTCAGAAAATAATCTGTTTCATTCTACCATAGCTCTTTTGGTTCTGCTTGGCTGACAGCAAAACTTATATTTTGTCACTAAAGTAATCAGATTTTTTTGTGAATACACAAGGGCAGTTCTTTGAGTAAGAAGGCACCATTTTTACCACATACGTTTCTCAGTATATATCTGCACTTCAGAAGCATTTAAAATACAAAATTGATCCTTAAAAATTATTAACCTAGCCAGTGCTTTAGCTGCTGGAGTAATAAATACTCATGTCCTAAATAATCTCAGCTATCACTTTGCCAGATGGCAGGCAGAGACTTCTTTGTAAACAAATTTTAAGCTACAACAGCTGCATTAAAATATCACTATGTGTTGGATTTTAAACTCTCAAAAAGCAAGATGAGTGAAATACTGTCCTGAATGTACTCCATTAACCATGGTATATTTAAGCGTCTCAGGATCATCGCTCATTGTTCTATTTGCCATATATGCCAAATGCTCTAATGATAGGTAGAATGTTGGTGTGTATTGTATACAGGTCTAGTTTGGGCATTAAATTCAGCCTGAACACTGCATTTCTTTGTCTTATTAATTAAAGACCTTAAAAATGTTTCTAAACCTCCCTTGTAAAGTAATTACTGCAATTTGCAAGAGAGAGCCATTTTTTATTTATAGATGTGAAGTAAAAAAAAATCCTCAAGAGCTCTTGCCCCAGTTGAAAATGACTTTAGTCACCTCTGTTAAATGTGTTAATGGTTAGTCCAGTTCTTAGCGAAGAAATGTACACATCACAAGAAACTCCATGAAGAGCAAGCATATTTCTGAGGGGCCAGCTAAATGGAGTCTGTGTTTGAAGAGATTTTTGTGTTACTCAGTCTTAGATATCGTACATGAAGTAAATAGTAAAGGTGCTGGCTGAAGAGTGTGGGATTTTGCTTTTTGTGGTACAGAAGCTGAGGTGGCTAGATTTTTTTTTTTTTTAACAATTAGCTGTGGTTTTCTTTCATTTTTTGTGATGTATTACATTTTGAGTTATTTGCCTAGATATTCAGAGTCTGGGAGAGAGAGAAACTATTTTTAGGCATTATAAATCTACAAAAATATATAAAATATATGTAAATGTTAAAGAAACTGGATTTAAATGACAGTAATGTGCCTATCCCATATCTGGCAAGAGAATTTAAATTATTGATCTAATGTTTAATTATTTCCCTGTTAGATATTGCAAATGGCTCCAGTTCCGGAGGATACCGTCCACCTCCCAGAACAAAAGAAGTAATCATCAATGGACAGACAGTGAAACTAAAATACTGTTTCACTTGCAAGATTTTCCGCCCACCTCGTGCCTCACATTGCAGCCTTTGTGATAACTGTGTAGGTGAGTATAACGAAAACTTACATGTTCAGTTTTTGTAATTTTTTTCATTCAAGTGCTTTTAGAGGGCAGGATAGTCTTCCTATGAATATATATGGTTGTGTGCTTACAGATACCAGACTCACATGGTTATAAAATCATCCAGAAGGTCACTAGCTAACAAAATTATCCTGCTTCCTACCAGCTAATGTGAGGATTTTGGAGGAGGGTAGATACAGCCTCCTGGAAGTTTCAACCATATAGCAGTTTTGAGGGGGGAAATTAGGGCTCATCTACACTGCTATTTAACTACCATTGTAGCTGCACCAGTGCAAACCTCTAGTTTAAAGACATGATCTCATCTGAAGTAAACTACACCCGTGCAATTCACATTGTACCAGTGTAAATTACATCTACACTTGAGGTTTGCCCTAGTAGAGCTAAACTGGAGGCTAAAATCCCATTACAGACAAAGACTAAGGGCTTTTCTGCACTGCAGCACAGCTACAGTTCTGTAGCTATGTCACTGTAGCACTATAGTGTAGACACGACAGCGATGGAAGGGGTTTTTCTGTCACTATAGGTATCCACCTCCCTGAGTGGCAGTAGCTAGGTCAACTGAAGCATTCTTCCATCGATGTAGCTGTGTCTACAATGGGGATTTCGGACCTCTGAGCACCATAGCTGTGTTGATATACATTTTAAGTGTAGACGAGGCATAAGTGAGATTACATTTCACACTGGTATAGTTACACTGATGTTGCTGCACCGGTGCATTTCCCAGTTCAAATGCACTGGAACAATGTAAAAATGACTTGCATTGAGTGCATCTTACTCTAGTTCAGGGGATCCCAAACTTGGTTCATGGCTTGTTCAGGGTAAGCCCCTGGCAGGCCACGAGACACTTTGTTTACCTGAGCGTCTGCAGGTACGGCCGGTCGCAGCTCCCAGTGGCTGCGGTTTGCCGGTCCCGGCCAATGGGAGCTGCAGGAAGCAGTGGCCGGCCCGCGCCGCTTCCTGCAGCTCCCATTGGCTGGGAATGGCGAACCGCGGCCACTGGGAGCTGCGACCGGCCGTACCTGCGGACGCTCAGGTAAACAAAGCGTCTCGCAGCCCGCCAGGGGCTTACCCTGAACAAGCCGCGGACTAAGTTGGGAACCCCTGCTCTAGTTTGAACCTGGGGTAAACTACAGTGATGCAGGGCACTTCTTACACTGGGCAGTGCAACTACACTAGGGATTTGCATCACTGGTGGGAGGAAAAAAACAGTGTATACATTGCCTTGGAGTTAACCCTCCATGAAAATGAAGGTTGGTGATCCACACCTCCTTTGAAGGCAAATCCTGGTCCTTTCTTTGCCACTCATCAAGAGAGAACCACTGACATTCCACAGCACAAAGGATGCAGCAATTTTTGGGGAGCCTGTGTAGAGGATTGCACTACTTTTTTGCTAGAGAGCCAAGATCTTCAGGGAACTCCCTGCATCTAACTCAACAGGAGTGTGTTGGGATGAAATAGGTTGATCTGCTGCCACAGTTAGTCTTCTTATGTGACAGGTACAAGCATCACAGTGTGCTCAAGCCTTGAGTCTGGAGTAGCTGCCACAGAACAGCTCTGCTGCCTTGGCTAAACTGTAATGAGGGTGAGGAGTTTGTCTTTTCCTGTCGCAATTCCAAAGTAATTGGCTTGTGCTATGCTCTGCAGCCAGGATATGATCTGTAGACAGTTCACATCTTCAAACAGTTCCAGACTGTCTGCAGACTCAAGAAGACAACACAATATCATTCACACTCAGTTTACGTTTGGAAATTTGTCTCTGCTAAGGTAACGGCTAGAAATTTAATTTTGCTTTAGTATCCACAGAAATTTTATGGTTAAGTAGTCACTCAGAGAAAACGTCTTACTTGCCTTTGGCAAGCGAATGCTATGTCAGGCCCTGATTATATTTTAAAATAGTAAACTGAAATAACATTTGATCCTCTCTTCTGTACATCCTGCCTTTTTTCTGGAGATTGTTCCTTGAAGGGTAAGTAAGGTGATTAAAGTGTGGCTATCTACTTTTTATTTTTAACCACTATTCAAACCGGAGTAGTTTTCCAATGTAATTAGAACACATTTGGGGTTTTATGTGCCTGAGTAACACACTGGTGATCCTGAACCTTGTGCAGTCAAGAAAATAACGTAGAAAGCAGATGTCTCCAGGTCAGAAATGCAATTGCAGCATGTAGCAGTGATCCTTTTCGGTATAAAGCAGTGAGTGGCAGAATTATACCTTCGTAGTTAGAGAATATCCATATACCTGTCGTGAGTTCTAAGCTGAGTGTGGAAAGGCAGCCGTTGGTCTTCATACAATGAATAGATGCCTGCAGGCAGTTTCTTTGGTAAATAAATCAATCCATTAGATGTTAGGGTAAAAATTCTATCTACTAATCAGGAAAAGTTTTTCTCCTATATTAAAATTGGAATTCTTAATCAAACATAACATCAATTTTAAGCTAAAATCTGTTTTTATAAAAGCCAGCTTTTATTGACCATAGGACAAATAGGAATGTTTCTCTGATTTTCAAATTAGAATTGAAACATTTTTAGGCAGATGTTACTCATGCAGTGTTTGCAATCTATACATTGTGCTGCTATTTGAGACGCTGACAGTGAAACTGAATTGACCAGGGGGGTTGTTAAATAAGTCAAACAGACTATTTCCACTTTCCAAACTGAGAAACGCGGGGGGAAAATAAGCATAAACCGGGAAAATGTTGTGGGGTTTTTTTTCCGTTTTAAAATAATCTAAAATGGTGTTTTAACATTATTTTATAATCTGACAGCATCCTTTTTATTTTAAATGTGGGAAACCTGCCATTTTAAGTAGGGGAGAGATGCAAAGTCTTTGATCAGTAATGAAATAAGAAGTTAATTTAAAGAAAGCTGTCTTCCTATAATGTCTGCATTCAAGCAACAGATATAAAACAGCTTTGAATATTTCATAGAATATAGCTGTGCAAGTGACTTATAATAAATAATTTTATCCAACAAATGTAGCCTCCTCTTTTGCTCCTGAAATAGGTGCAAGAGGATTTGATTTTTCTGTAATGAAGACTCCATTTACAATTATTTGGTGACTATTTTTACAATTAAAAAAAATTCTATGGATTGATTGCAAACAATTTTCTGTATATATTTGCTATTCATTTTTTTGCTATGGAAACTGTCATGATTAGCTGTGATTTTAGTAACATAAGTCACACGGTATTGTTTTTGTTCCCTGTTTGGATGTTGTGATGCTTCCCGGAGGTACACAGAGTTGAGGCACCTTGCTACTACCTGCTGTTAGTGTGAGGAAGCCTTGTCTGTGCCTGCTGACTCCACTGGCCACAGGCAACACAAGCACTCCCCTCTAGGCCTACGCAGGCCCTGCTCTCTCGCGCGCTGTCTCTCTCCAGGTTAGTGACAGGCACACTCCAACCCCCATACATCACCCTGGTGTGTCTGGCCTCTGTTCCACAGGACATTAACAGATTCAGAAGAAGGACCATACGGGGTCAGAGCAATGGTCCATCTAGCCCAGTAGCCTGTCTTCTGACAGTGTCCAGTGCCAAGTGTTTCAGAGGGAATGAATGGAACAGGGCAATTTCGAGTGAGCCATCCCCTGTCATCCAGTCCCAGCTTCTGGCATTCGGAGGTTTAGGGACATCCGGGGCATAGGGTTGTGTCCCTGAGCATCTTGGCTAATAGCTGTTAATGGACTTATCCTCCATAAATTTATCTAATTCTTTTTTTAACCTAGTTATATTAGCTGTTTCCAAAAAGCAGTACACACCAGCTTACCAGTTTCTCCTCAGATCATTGTTCTTAAATGTGTTTATAGTGAAATCAAGTAAAAGTTTATTTAATAAAGTATAGAGAGCCAAATGATAGTAAATAGAATTATTGGGGGAAAATGATCACATAAAATGAAATCTTAAGACACATTCTAGAACCTAGACTTAATTAACTAGATAATTTCATTTCTGATAGAGCAATGCTCACCCAAAATCCTTCTAGCATTTTGCAGCCAAGCTTGACTGCGATCTTCTGTTCATGAGAGAAGTCATGCCGTCAGCTTGCCTCCTCAATAAAAGATCCTGGGTGTCTGTATGCACCCCCAGATATATCAGAACAATCCATTGTCTTTCATAAGCAGGACACCACCTTGATGGTTGTTTTTTCCTGAGTATAATCCATTTAAGGAGTTTTAGAACAGTTGTACAATTTTAGGGGAAAGTGAAGGAGGGATGGGGTAGGAGAGAGGAGACACAGGGACTGCCATGCATTCTACTTACTGTGCTAAATTAGCACAACAGAATTCTTATATGGCCTGACTCAACCACCACTGACGTTAATGGAAAAACTCCCATTGACTTTGGAGGAGCTGGATCAGGCCCTTAAAGATCATCAGTTTCACATGAAAATGACACCAAAAATACTAATAAATCTAAAAGACTGAAGGATAAATGAAGAATATAAATAAAGCAGATCTTCAGTCCTAAAATAGAAATTGCCAAAGGAAATGCACTTATGCTGCCAATCCTAATTGATTTCATTTTATGCCGCTTTGATTTCCGACATCTTTATAAACTGCCAGGACCTGAAGAAGAGCTCTGTGTAAGCTGGAAAACTTACCTCTTTCACCAACAGAAGTTGGTCCAATAAAAGATATTACTTCACCCATCTTGTCTCTCTAATATCCTGTGACCAATATGGCTACAACAACCCTGCAAACAGGACTATTTCTGTTACTTTTATGATTTTGGGGGACGCCAGGAAGAATAAATATGTCCTTTAGAAATACAGAATATCTTCATTTGTGTACCCTTTTCTTGGTAAAAAAAAATTTTTTTTTTTTTTTTTTTTATAAGTTAAAATATAAAAAAAAAAAAAAAAAAAAAAAGTAGTAATTTTTAAAATTAGAGCTGCCAGAAGTTAGGTTATTTCTTTGTGGACACTGAAATAAAGACTTGAAATGTGATAGTCAAATCAATTTTTTT